ATTTTTTTCTCTCTATACATATACATATACATATATATATATATATATATGTATAGTATTTTCCGAATATTCACCGATCATGCCAAGAGTCAAATCATGGGCGGGCGGTGGCGCGTGCCCGCAGGGGTACCCTGTCCCAGCATTCAGGTTTTTCCAACCACTTTCATCCCATAGTTTCCATCCACGATGATTCCATCTATTCGAGGATAAGATCGAATAGATTGATTCTAACATTTCTTCATCCAACGAGCGATTCTCCTCGCGATTATTAATATTTATTATTTAGAAATTAAGAATCAGATTCGATGAAACTGGTTGGACTTTCAAAAAGATCGTACATCGATATCTACTTCGCGAGGCAATCGATTTTCCAAGGTTACAACGATATATATATATATATATATATAATGTAATCGCTTGATTACGCTTAATTGTACCGCTCTAATTGAACGCTCAACTGGTCTGGTTACACTGGTTTTACGGGGGAAAATCAATTGCCTCGGTAAACAGTTTCGAACCTAGACCAAAGTTTCCCGACACGGCTCGCGAGATAAAAGAGATAGTTAGAGACCGGGCTGCGACACGGTTTCGGTATCGCGTATGCGGGGGCCCGATTTACATAGCAAAAGAGTCCTCGTTTACATGCTCGCGTTTATCTGTCGCGCGACGATAGATTGGCGATGCGAGAATCGGTTTATCGATTTAGAAAAAAAAAGAAAAAAAAAAGGAAAAAAGAAAGAATATAGAAAACGGATACGCGAAACGATCGTAATCCGCAAATTGCAAATTGAAAACGAAAATTAATCCACTCGCCCGCGGTTGTCCAGGTTCGAAACTAAAAAACACGATTCTGATTTCCGTTAATAGACACGCGAGTAGACATTTTGCATTTTGTCCAACAACAAGATTGTTTTTACTCTCTGATGATAAATAATTGTTGTCGATCACGGACCTGTGTTGTCCGCGTCTCGAACGATATTAGAGAGAGAAAAAAAAGAAAAGAAAAAGAGAGATGAGAAGGGAATTAACGGTAAATCAGAATCGTGATTTCGACGAGGATGAAACTCGATCGTTTCTTGTCTCGTTGCTCCTCACTTACCGGTAATGACGAGTCGTCCCTTGGTTGCCGACAGCCTCGTCTCTCCGGTCAGTCTATGCTTGGTGCGGCATTGGTAAGTCTTGTATCCATCCTCGGGTCCAACATCGCGAATGTGAAGCTCCCCGGAAGGCAGTACCAAGTATTTTCCATCTGTTCGAGTCGTACAAGTGATTATTTCTCGCCCCTCTTTTTATCGGACAAAAAATACGTGCAACTTTCTAACCAGGGATAATTGACTTATCGGAAAGAACGTTCCAGATTATCGATTTTATATATATATATATATTGGAACAGTTTAATCGAGGAGCGACGTTTTAATCGGCCCGTAGAACGAAATTGATATCAGATACGGATCAGAAATATTCAATTATCCCCGATATACGACCGCACGATACTCGTACCACGTGTGTGGATTGGACGAGTACAATGCCGTCTTGATTTAACACATTGGCCCGCATGCGCTCACTACTGGTCGGTAAAGTTGAACGTTGAACTATTTTATCCATTCATCTCGTATAACGTTTTCAACGTTCGACCGAATTCGTTTCGGGCCCGCTCGTCAAACACGAGGGAATATCGAGTTTGCATTGTCCTGGACGCGTTGCGCAGCAGGATAGCTTCCATCCACCCGATATCCCCTTTAATCCTTTTAATCCTTTCCCCTCCCACGCTCGAAACTGGCTTTCCAATTTTATCCATCATTAAATACATTTACGTACGGTATCCGTTTAACGAGTCGTACGATCGAATTAAGGTAAGGTAATAATAATAATATTCGATCGTTAAAGTTTAAACGCGTTTATTGTACGTTTGCAAAATCAATTCTTTATTAATATTCTTCGATTATATTAAGAGAAAAGGAGAAAAATCGACACGAATAAAGGATTAAAAGTCGTATTCGATCGGTATTCGATCCACGTGATGCACACGTTTACGATTCCTCTCGGTGACTTCCGCCTATGAAATAACCCACCGACGAACGAGCCCGATGCATGCAATCGACGGCTACGCGAGAAAAGCAACTACACAAAAAAAAGCAACCACAACCGCACACATATATTCTGGATACATAAGTAGTCGCACACTAGGGGGAAAGAAGGGAAATGCGTGAGAGTTGTCAGTGGAGGGGAGAACCGTGAAAAAGAATTTCGGGGAAGGAGGGGAAGTCTGGGACAGCGCGAGCAGCGGCAGTCAACGTCGTACGAACAATTTCAACGATAATTCGCCGTTTAATATTCGCCGAAACGAGGGGCATCCGGACTATTTCGAATTCTCCATCTCGTCATTTGCCACGCGTCGATTCTTATCGTCGATCGCTCGATCGAAATTGGAGGCCGACGGAACGAACGTGTTCTCGAATGAGAGAGAGAGAGAAAAGGGAGGAGAGAGAGAGTGAGAGAAATAGCTACGACGCATCGCACGATTTTTTTTTCTTCTTATTCGTATTCTTATTTACTCGTGACTGTCTCGACGCATCCTGCTACATCCTCCACAGGTCGCAATCTGTTCTCGTAGAGGCCGATTTCCGGCCTCCCCTCCCCTCCCCAATCCTCCCTCCCTCCTCAGTAATTGCAATCGCGGTGGCGACTCACAATGGCGATCGTACCTGTTGCGTGTCTCCGTTCGAATGCGTACGAATCGAGGGAGCGAATTTCTCTGCTCGAACGGAACACAGGATCCGCAGCAGAGGATATTATACGGCTACTGTTTTATTAGACGAGCGATAACCCCCGGTCGATGCCTGGGGGAGAGAATCCTTGAAAACGTTTGGTTCACGACCGCGTTCCTCCGCGTGATTGTGAATGGAAAGCTAACGTCCGTTTCTCTCTCTCTTTCTCTCTCCATCTTTTTTCCTATACACGCCACTAAATGGAACAAACTTACCAACGTTTTCGTTCGATAGAAAGAGAGAAAAAGAGAGAGAGAGAAAGAGAAAAGAAGTCTCGCGAGCATAGATAATGAAAGAGGATGAAAAAAAGAAAAGTTTCATCGTTTCCTCTTCTTTTTTTTTTATATTTCTGTTTAATCTTGATGGTACCGTAATCGGTGCTAGGGTATATTTCAGTGGTCTCGTCTTCGATCCAAGAGTCAACCTCGACGAATTCGGCGACGAAGCTCGGTATGTGACACTTGATAATTGCGGCGTTCCCCGAAGGACGTGTTCGTCCATCACGTTCACTGCATACCGCTGCCCGACAACTGCAACCAGACACCGGTTTCCGGTTTTACCATAAGCCGCACATCTACATACACCCTCGTATCCGTGATACATCGATCGATCGTTGCGATCGCCGGTTCGAGAATTCGTGCGACGCTTAACGGCGTAGCTTTTCAAAGTAGCGATCGTTCGAGAGCGTTATCAACCGCCCTCCTCCTCCCCCTCCCCCGCCCCACGTATTCTATCGCGAAACCGATTCTATCCGATCCATCGTTCTTCCCCTTCCCCCCCCCTCCGCATTCATCGCACGAATCGAAGAACGAACGCAACGACGAAGGAGCGAATATTAGCCAATCTCTTTCTCCGTCCATGCTCGCGATCGATACCGTATGACTGTCCATCGGCCACGTAACTGCCGCCGTTCGAATCGATCCATCCCACTACGTCCACGTGGTCGGCGACGAACGATGGAACCTGACACTTGAAAATTGCCGCGTTCCCGCGGATCGCGAACTGATCGTAAACCTGAACTTCGAAGTATTGGGCGACCACTGGAATGAAAGCGTGACAAACAGGGAATATATATATATATACACATATACATAGAGAGAGAGAGAGAGAGAGAGAGAGAGAGTAGTTGGTTGTCG